TTTCGATGTTAGTGCTAGGCTAGTCTCTCAAAAACAAAATTAGTTTGCAAATGAGTTTATTTCGCCAATTTCGTGCAATTTGGTTTCAAGTAGGACAAAATTTCGACGGAAACTAAGGGAGTGCATCAGGTACAAGGGACCTCGCGCTATTTGAATTTCACCTTTCATCGATCCAGACTTTCGGTGAATTGATTGGTTGATTGATTGACTGGCCTGGATGCTTGCCGGGTCTCAGTAGGTTTAGGGCATTCCGGGGTTATTTTCAAGCTAGCCGACCAGCGTGTGTCGATAGCTGTTCCACAAGAGGTTCACACATAAGTTATCACAGCTGATGACGACTGGAACCGCCAAGTCTCAGTGTTTTCTAAGTGGGCTCGGTATCATTGAACTTCCAGTTCTCCGCATTATTAAATCATCTAGTTTTTCAGCGAATGCTCCCAATATTTATCCTTGTTTGTATTCGTAAGTATTTGGCCGTCATACGGCCTAATATCTCCGTTCCTCGTTGTTATCAAAGAACCTTCGAGAATCTTCAACCATCGCTGTGGTTCTGGAACACGGCCGTCTGTTCGATCTGCCCGCGAGTCGTTTGTTGCTGATACCTCACACTGGAAGACATCATCAGTTACGTGTACACTGTGCCTCAGTCCTAGGACATCCAATAGCCGGAGATTTGATCTACACAGAATGGCCATCCACCACCGAGGATCGTTCACTTTTGCAATCAGCAAATCACCGACTTCCTCGAATGATGTTACATGCTTACAATTTGAAATTTGATCTGTCCAATATATCGAGAAAAGCTACTTCAGGTAGACTACCTTTATCGGGACCTACAACTCCCGGTGTTTTGAATGTGTATTCCAGTTCACAAAACCCCTTCAACGACAGTAATATCTTTTGGAAGGTTGAGAGGAAACTTTCTACTCTTGACCAATGGTGGGATGTATATAATTATTAAGTTGCAGAGGATAATGAAGTTGATTTTATCTCGATTCTTTTGTTCTGTTCAGCTTGCCAGCTATCGGCTTGTTCGCATTTGCCTGTTCTACTTAAGCGGATGGTGTCTCGATGGAGTAACGTCATAGCCAAAATTACGTCGAATCTCATAGATGGTTGGGCGATTTTTTGTACTTATATAGCTAGACAGAAGTTGTCTCAAACGATTAAATCTTCGTTGCTGTTGTCAACAAAGCGAACGGCGGTAGTGATGTTTCTCAAGTTTAAGAGTGTAGTACTGAGGCTTTGAATTGGGTACCATGTTGGTTGTTCCAACCGCAGCAGTTGTTCATCGACGATAGGAGCATGAAGAAGGCCACTCAGTGAAGGTGATGGTTGGCACATCATTTATGTCTTTTTGTTCAGCACAGAAGGTTAGTACAGACGGAGACCCCCTGACCAAAGAGCTCATGCGAAAATAGTACAACGCCTAAAAATCACCTGAAAACATGGGCATCCTAGTGGATTTGAGTGATGCACACTTACTCGATGTTCGAAGAATTTGTGGTTGTACGAGGTTGGGATCACATAAAAACGCGGAAAATTTCTGAGTTAGAGATGATAGACTGGGCGGGCACTGCCTTGGGAGGTTGCAACTAGATGGATACAGCTGTATGGCTAAACTACCAAGGCTCAGGGAGGCGAGATACAGGCTCTCTCTGGTAACGGCAAGGCAAAGCAAGAGGGATCCGCCCCCATATATTGAGAGTTCCTACAACTTGTCTATCAAAGAGGATGTGTCGATATTGCCTTTAAGCCCGTTCTGAATAGAAACGACTGGGGAGAGGTAAGACCAACATAAGACCAATATTCAAATTCAAGGCGAATTTGGATTTATAGAGAAGTTGAACGAAGCGAAGGTGTTTATGGGTTTAAGGTGGAAAACCAACCTTCCCAGAAAGTTGAAGAGTTAGTAGATGAGGAACCAAGAACAGTGAACCAGGAAAAAAGGAGGAGTGACAATTGACCCGATCGAGTGGAGGGAATTGTGTGTGGAACGGCTAAGAAAAGAGGTGTATACGTGAAGGAATTTGGATGAGCTGAACGATTTTGCACTCAAAATGCCACAGTTGCAAATCCTGATAAGGTTAGCGTTTAAAGCTGTGATGTGTGGTCATCACGTAATTGGTGAGTAGTAACGAGTCAGGAACGGTAAGACGAGGAATGATGAATGCTATCGTTTGGATCATGGGATGAAACAGATGACAATACGTCATCGCCTTAAGAGAAAATGGTGTGTCAAAGTGCAGATCCTTCGAGAGTTCTTGTGTCGGTTTTCTGAGTCTGAGAGACAGCGCAGTTAAGGTACACTTGGGTGGATGGACTGCTCAGAAATATCTCAGTCCATTCGATGCCGTTAAAAGTGCAAATGGCGTGCGACTGAGTAGAGAGTTGAACGAGAGTGACTAGCCAGCATGTGGCCGCCGAAGTGATCTCTGCCTGATGTGAACTGATACACGGAGAAAATAAGAAAAGGGCAGACTCTATAGATGTAAAATTGTTGCACCTGCTAGAGCATGGAATGGATTGACCGATATCAACGTGTAAGAAAAACTCGTAGTTTTTTGCAGTTCATTGGGAATAGTTGTAACTAACGCACTATATGACAAATTCCGTGGCTAGATCAGATGAAACAGTAGTGAAAGGAAGAAGGCTTTCGCTGCGGAGTTATTTATCGGAAAGTGCCAACAGACCGGTTACAGACCATTGGACAGGGATGCAAAACTCTCATTTGCATCTTATTTACAAAAACTGGACATCCATCTTCTCCTGAACGCGTCTCCTTGAAGTTTCCTGGATATTCATTGACTCCAATCATTCCTAGCTCAAATCCAAGCAGATCCACAAATTCCGCAATATGTCTCCCTTTTCAAGAGAAGCGAAGCGAAATTCCACGAACAACATACTACTCGCGCGCCCCCCATCAGTAGTATCACCGTTACAGTAGTAGTATTGCCCAATCAGCAGTCCTTTTAATGGATGCATAAGCGGAAGAAATCAGTCTGTGACATTTGAAAAGTGAAGCTATTTTACAGAAATTCGGCTTCCCGTTTCCATCATATGCAAGGTCCATTTAGCCGAGCTTCTTACATACTTCAAGAAACTGCTGGATTCGTTTGCACTTTTGTTATTTCGAATTACCACGAGTTTTTGTTCGACTTTATTAGTGAAGGTTGTATTTCGTTAGTTATTCGTGCGTCTGTACCTGGAGCCGAAATGTGTAATGTATGGAAATTCTTTCTTGAATACGCCGTACAAGCAAAAATTATTGATTTTACTTTGTGTTGTTCTAGTTCGAACCCCGTCGCCAGGGTTTGTGATTCAGATAACAAGTCTTCCAGACGTTCAGTTATGAGAATCACAAGCCTTTCGTTATCATCAGAGTAATGATGCTTCATGGTGGGTTGCTGCGGGATTTTGCGGCATACCCGCTCAATTCAGTTGGCTCCTGTCTGTGCTCTTTTTACCCTCAGTTTTTGGTTTCGAATTTACCGATTGACTCTCTCAGCTATCCCAATAACAGTCGACTGTCAAAATGGAGCAGGCAAACTCCAAAGCAGTGCACTCTTTTCTAGCAGTATCCTTACTCACCTGTGGTCGGTCTATGGGGGAGGTTCGCGCTGCCATCCGACAGTCCCTGCGATAAAGTCATATTGATTTGACTGGGAATAGAAATATTAATGGCCGGTCTGTTCTGCAATTGGTTCGCAAACATATCGTTCCCATGTGACGAGGCGTCGTCGGCCCGTGCGCGGAAGATCAACGACTACTTTATTAAAAGTCAATCTTTTTAAGTGATAACACAGATAAGAGACTACGCACAGTGGTGTTCTACTGAGACTTCTCGGCACCGCATATAATACTGCCGTTACTGTATTAGGTGGGTAATATGACCGATACCGTCTTTGGGTAGAGAAATTTTGTGTCCTTACGCTTATTTGCTGCCAACAGGAAACACCTGAGCTGTGCTAACTGTTTGACACTAATGCGGATAGTTTTGCTCCATATTTCATTGATGCAAACAAGTGAATCGGAGCAGTAATCAGTCGTTCAGCTTTGACATCGTTTCAGCCCACGGTGTCGTGCCACTTGAAGGAGGCACGGTGGTTGGGCTACGGTCAATTCGCACAAGCTAGACAGGAACAATCGAAATGTCTGGGTTGAGTTCGAACCCGGTCCTCTCGTTCAACTGTATGGAACTCCTACACATAATCCAATCCTATCTATATCCATGGGGCGCGATGTCTCAAGTGGGTAGAGCGTGAATTTACTAACCGAAAGGCCCGTAGTTCGAGCCCGACCTCTATCTCTCTACTTCCCATGTCTAGGCTTGGGCAACCTGGCAGTATCTCAGCCCTCGTGCTTCCTTCGGGTTGCATGGCAGCTAGGCACCGGAAGGGTGCTACAGCTGAATGATCTATTTCTTATATTATCTATATCCATAGGTCCCATTTTTATCCTCTTGATGCCTGCGTTGTTAAAGAATCATCCAAGATTTCTCCGTATTTTTGGGCTTGTTGCCGATATCACCGAACTAATGCAATGACCCAAGGTCATTTCTCAGTCCCTTCGGACGCATTCAAAAAAGAAGCGGCTTATATGTGAAATGTATGCTCTGCTCGCAATTTGCAACGTTAAAGTATAAACTGTACACTTGACAACACAAAGCTGTGGCAATGTACGATGAGCGGGAGAAGAATGATCGGATGGTAGCGGTGATTGTCGTGGAGTTTGAGGTAGAAAACCTGTCTTCACTCCTGTTGTCGTGGGCTAGCAGGAATACGAGGGATATATAAAAAAGGAATCATCTTTCTGCTACTACGCCCAGGCATCCATTAGCCTAAACACACACACACACACAGTTGCTGCAAGCCTAGTTTTGTACAGGGTAATCGTTGTTTTGCAATCATTAGGGGGGAACTCTGTTTCTTTAAAACTGTACATGGAAAAGCAGTGAGATTGTTGTAAAAAGGGTAGAAGCTTTTGGGAGGATAACGATAAAATACCGGATTCAAACATCTGTTTCAATAGGTTTTTCCAGGGAACGCGATTTACCATATTTTCCTGTGTGCTTATTTGAAGGGGTTAGCCAGTCGCATCGTTGAAGGAATGTGATGGGCCTCGACTGACGTGTGTCGATGCAGGGTGGGGGTGGTAGGTCTGTTGTTGTAGATTTCCACGCTACAGAACGCCCATCTCCACTGGAAGTTGTGAATGGAATGTCGGGTATCACGGTTGTGTTATCGATCGGCACTTGCCTATCGGCTTTCTGCATATGCTCATTGGTTGTGTGGTCTGGCAGATATTCTGTCAGTTGTTTTTCTGTTAGACGTTTAACACATTGCATGCACTCGGTGGGTGACCCGACTTTGGACTGGGCGGATCGACTGCGTGCTATGCCTGGATATATTGGTGGCGATTGTTCATCGGGTTCCGGAGGGCAGGTTTTAAGTGGATCCTGGACCAGTTTCTGTTCGTTTGAGAGTCGTTTGTCACCCTCATTACTTGTTTCCTCAAACGCCGCCGTTCTTTTTAAGCTACTCAAGTAGTCATCTGTAGAGTGACTTTGTTTTATGCGCCTCGAGCTCTTCCGATCAATCAAACTCACTTTCTGCTCGTTAACGCTACCTGATTTTGTGAGCAGAATACTTCTACCTTTCATTTCATTCGGCTCCATCTCATGTGTCTGTTTGAAGCCACTTTTTT